TGGAAGTACAGACAGGGAGGATGAAGAAACCACCCCTAAGCCTCTCTCAATGTATATGGATGCTTTATTATCTAAGGAGGACTCCTGTCATTCCCATCCTTGACCTCTCTGAGCAGACTTTGACAACAGAGATAAACAAAGAAATTTATTTACTAGGCCACACATTTGCTGTTCACACACAAGCATAGTTTTTTTTAAATTTCAGCCTTACTGTGCACATCTCTTAAGGCCAGCATGTTGTCCCTATGACTCTGATGTGGAGGAGGCTGAGATCATCCAACTCCTGTTTGTTTCTGTCCTCGTGCAGGTGTGAAACCAGACTTATCTGGAATTAGTGCTTTAAATCACTGCACCTCCTACAAATACCTGTTCTTTTGTTCCTCATGAGAGCTCTTGAGGATTCCTCCTCCTCCTTTTCCATATTTTCAATCCAGTCTTCACATGGCTAGCGTTCTCTTAGCTTTGGATAGACTGTTAATGAGCTTTCCTTCTGAGCTCGTCTGTGGTGCCTCCCCAGAAGGAGTTGGTGAGGACTGACCAAGGTTTTCTTAAGCCAGAGGCTGAGTGGGCTCTTAAGCCCAGCATGGGCTTTAGTCACGCTTTCCTCCGGCAGAATAAAACATGGTGTGGTTACAGGAATCATAATTTTAAAATTATTTTGGTATTCTGTAATTAGAGACTGTGAAATCCTTAATAAAGAGTAGCAAAGGGTATAAATGATGTAACAATTGCATTGTTATCATGTGATACTGTATGAGCTGTTATGTTTGTATGATTTAGTAGTGGTACCACTTGAACACTGCTTCATTCAGGGCCACTGCTAATTTGAGTTAGCTCACTTTATATTTACAGAATTATGCAGCTATAACAGGGACAGCATAACAGCTGCAGCATGCTCCCAAGCAGCAGCTTCCCTCCCCCGTTTAAAGTGGCTAAAACATATGTTTGTCCATGCCCTCTTAGAAAAAGATTTGGAAAAGGGAATCAAACAAGCATCTTGCCCCTTCACAGATGCAGTGAATACTATCATACACCCATAACGTGCATTTGTCAGTTGATCTAGTCTAGGGCTTCCCCAAACATGGTTTGTGAGCTTTTTGGAAGTAGTACACATGGGTATGGTGGTCTGTTCCTTTTAAGGAATAATAGGATCCAGGAAGTAGCCAAAATCTGTTCTATGATGTGTTCCCCTTTAAGGGAAACTGGTATTTTCAGTTTCAGCAGAAGCAAGGGGGGAGGAGGAGGAGCAGGGAATGGAGCCAAGTACTATTCAGGTATCTACCGTCCTAATTTGCAACCATTTACCTGTTACGTTACTCCCAAAGGAGAGGAGAGAAGGAAAGTGCATATAGCTGGATTGGAGAATTTAATGGGAATGTTGAGTCGAGAGAGGTTCCGAAGTACGGGAACTGGAAACAAAAGGGAAACTTAGTGACCTGGGAACCCGTTTGGATCATGATACAGATGCAGCAAAGATGGCTAAGGGCCCTTGAACCAGGTGAAAGGAGTGAGTGAATTCAAGAACTAGAGATACTTGGAGGACATAGAAAGCTTACACAAATTGTAGCACACTGCCAAGAAGGAGGGCTTTAGAGTCTCTTAGCTTAGTGGGAGGGGGTGCAGGGGGGAGCACAGGAAGGGAAGTATTGTGAGTTCGGGCACCAATGCAGACTCTTTAGATCAGAGCTTTCCAAACTTTTCATGTTGGTGACACACTTTTTAGACATGCATCATTTCGTGACACAGTAATTCAGTTCCGGGGGAGGGGCCAAGGGAAGCAGACGCGAGTAAGGGAGCTCCGCGGTGCCCTTCCGCAAAATTTTCTGCATTTCGCGCGACACACCTACACACTGCCGCCGACACACTAATGTGTCGCGGCACACAGTTTGGAAAGCTCTGATTTAGAGTCTCCAGGAGTTGGCAGTGCTTGCTGTCTCAGAGGGAGCTAGTGACAAATATGGAAGACTTGGAGCTGAAGCTGTCTGGTGCTCTGAAAAAGACTCATTTTCCAGTAAGACTCCCCCATCTTTTTTCCCTTCTTTGCCCTCTAACACACATACACTTGTCCGTTCCCAAAGCCTCTGCATTTTACCCAGAATGTCTGCTTTCAGCCTAACCTTAGCAGCTTCTGACTTCAAGGCCCCTGCTACATGTTATATATTACAGAATTAACTAGTTAATTCACATGCAAAGTAATTATAACATGATAAAAATGACTATCTGGGTATAAAAAGGGCCAACCCACTATAAAGCTAGCATTTGAAAATGTGTAACAACTGTTACCACTGGTTTCTCTCCAACTTAAATTTGAACATGTAGCACGACTCTATCACTCAGACTACCCCTGCCAAACTCCATCTTCCCATTATTTTCACCCAGGCAGGTGTCCAGCAGCCAGATTAGAACATGATTTCACTCTGAGTCCATAAACACTGAGGCCTGTTAAGGCCTAAAATATGCCGGCAGAAAAAAAGCAGAACTTTGTGGTACTTGAAACTTTTTTAAAGAGGAAGATACAAGAGCCAGTCAAGTTTAGAAACTGGTGATACAGACTTTCAGATACAAGCTAGTGGACATCAGTGTTGCCTGTAGAATAACTGCAAGTATTTAGTCTCCTAAATTAGGTCTGCTCTGATGCTGTCATTCATGGACTATTGGGTGGTAGTCTGTGTATGGAGAGCTACACAGTCGCATAGTGTTAGCATTCCTTCTCCTCTGCAGCTTGTTATTGGAGCTTGAAACAGCAGGAGACCAGTCTAGAGCCTCATGTTAAAGGTTAGATCAATTTTACAAAGATACTTAGGCAACCAGAGATTAGGTTCCTCTTTAGGCTCTACAAGAAGCCTGTACCCATCTGTAGGTTCCTAAATAACTCTGTAATTGCATCCCACAGTTCCATAAGGGAGAGAGGAGATGATGCAGGGAGTGAATCCAGAATCATTGTTGGGGCTGCAGTTCCACCAATGCTGGATGAGATATGTACAAACAAGAAGGGAATGAAGAAGGTAGGCAATACACCCTGGAAATGGTGGGGGAGGGAAGGCAATAAGGTGGCCTGGAAACAGGATGGGAAAAGGAAGCAAGTAACAGTAGAATATGTGCATAGGGGGAGAATGATAAGGCTGCAGAGAATAGGGAGGAGAATGGGATCAAATAGTAGGGAGTCATACGTTATGAAGCAATACAGCCACAGGATCCAGTGAAATGCAGCTCCTAATTCTATTGGGTGAGCACAGAACAAGCAAAAGTAGAGTGTACAGTGTGAATAGCTTTTTAAAAAAAATCCTGATTATGTTACAGATGGTTCAAATGTAATACTTCGCCATATAAACAGTGGGTTGTAGTGTTCAAAAGTAAAATGCCATGAAAGGCCGCATAATTGCAAACAAGAGTGCAGGTGGGCTCTATGTAGTCCACACTGTGCACAAGTGTGGGACACACACATTAAGTTTTGAAATCCTCTTTGCCTTTGTGCACAGTAAAATCTCTATGACAGTGTCACAAAGAAAGGAGTTGAATGTAGGTTCATAGCACTTTCCTTGCCATTGAAGACTTCTATGTAAGCACATGATTGTGAATCAGAATGCCATTGCAGGTGCAAAGCTAATGACACCGTAAGAGGAAGTGTTCTGGAAAAAAGCCAAATTTCTGTGTTGTTATGACTTCTGAGATTTTCCTTTTCCTATATTTTGAACTATAGGAAACAACAAAATAAAGCAAGAAATCACACACATAGATCAGTCAAAATGCAGTCTGCAGCATGTCTTCCCTTATAAAGAACTGTAATTCTTAAAAAAAAATTACCCTCAGAGCTTGGGCTGTATTAAATTTAATGACACAGGTTGTTTGTTTTTTTTAATGAAAACTGGTGTTTGCAACTTATTTTTGACTCCTTTATTTTGGACTTGTTGCTGAAAGACATATATTGCAGGAGGAAAATATTGCCTGAAAAAATATTTTCAGTTTAAGGTAAAATCCATCTCAAATCTTTATGTTTGCGTAATGATTCTGGAATGGGATTTCAGGTCAGGCTAGGTTAAGAAACAACATGCTAATGATTTCATTTGTGAGAAAATGTTAAACTTATTCTGTGACAATAAGCATGTCTGTGCCATTTGGAGTCCAGAGGTGAGTCTAGGAGGTAGCTGTCAAGAGAGGAGTGACAAAACATCCATGGTCCTAGTATACCCCTTAGCAAAGAGGGTGAGAGTTGACAGGATTGAAGGATCCAGACAGAGGTGGGCTGTTCATTTCTGGCTTGCATTCACTTCCTTCTGAAACCCATCATCACGTGCTCTTCCATGGAAGGATGCCCTGCAGAAGACATGCATTCTCCTTCGTGCTCTGCCTCTTTCTTGCACAGTTGGATCTCATTAATTCTGCTGCCAGGTGGTCTGCACCTGTGGAGGAAATGGTAGAATTTGCTCATCATTGCAAAGAAATAGTACCCCTTTTGAGAATACTTGACACTTACTGCTTATTACATTTACCCTTCTTGTACCTAATGGGCCAAATCCAGAGGTAATGTGTGCTATGATCCTTATTTACTTTTTTTTAGGTTTTCTTTCCTACATCAGGCATGTCTCTTCTTTAACGTGCTAATTTAATTTTATTCCTTAATCGGAAAGGCCTGATGCAGTTGCTGGAAAATAAATCTTACAAAGAAATCTGTGTATCATATGAGGTACCTACTAAAATGGGAGAGGATATAAATACAGATTTTTCTTCTCCTTTTGTCATTAAGGCGGTCTTTTTATTTATTGGCCTTTTGGGTCTTAATTATTAAAGATCAGGAGGCAGCTGGTTTACTTATTTAGTGTGGTGGTGATATCATAAAATAGCAACTACGAGTAGCTGATATAAGACTATGAGATTCCCTGATGAGTTTGAAAATATTGAATGAAATCAAATTGCTTGCAAATATTTTACAAGCCTTAAAAACAGATGTGACCAAAATTATGAGCAAAAATGTGATACTTTTTTTTTTTTAATACCTACAGATATTGATGATGTCCGGAAGCACAAGCCAGGTTATCTTGAAGCTACAGTTGACTGGTTCCGATTATATAAGGTCCCAGACGGAAAACCGGAAAATCAGTTTGCTTTTAATGGAGAGTTTAAGGACAAGGTGACTTAAAGATGCATCTTGGTAGCCTGTGTGTTTTATGAATGATATATCATAGAATTTTTGGAGTTGCCTACCAGGAAGTGAGAATGCTGTTTGTGGAGCTCATAATGGAATAATGCTGTGTCAGTGGTCTTTAAATATAGTAGATAGAGTTAGGGATTTATCATCAAACTTTGTAACTGTATTTGCTTACTTTTTTCTTATTTTTGCAAGATGAAAATCTTAATCCATATAGCAGGGAGAATTTTGAAAAGGTCTTATCTTTTATAAATGTAGGTGACTAACCAATGTTGCAAATTTCATTATAACCCAAGGAAATATTTTTTTAAACACGTGTAAAACATTAAGTTACACTGTAAGGGCGTTCTATACACGCATATTATTTTGGAGGATTGGAACCATATTTTTAATTATTTTTGTCCTAGTAAACAAGATGGTGAATACATTTTTCTTTTAAATCTAGGCTGTTGTTTTTTCTTGACATATTTGCAAGGCTGTATATTTCAAAAGAAGAAATATGTTACATGTTTTTTCATACTTGGTAGCTGCCCAAAGTTTAATTTATTTATTTTTTGTTAATTTTGAGTAAAAATATTTCAGCATTTTTTTACTTGAAGGCTGAAAAAATATTCCTGTTTTTAGGGGGGAAAATTCCTATGAGTTAACTATTTGTTTTTAAAATGGCCAGTGTTTGAAAGGATGACAAGCTGGGAAATAGTACACTCTAAAGATGCTGTGTGAACTTTTCCAGAGAAAATATGGCTTTATTGATATTTTAAAAATTACTTACCAGGAACATCTGGTAGAGCAGCAATTCTCAATCATATTAGACTTAAGGCACCTTTTGGAAAATTCTAGTTCTTAGTTTTCATGTGTTTTTTACTACAGAAAAATGATAGAGCAATACTTCTGTTGCAAAGAACTCAGACAAACTACAGCAGGTCATAAGGTTTTTATGCTATAAATTCCAATTTGAAATCTCTGGCTTTATCCTGTGCATCATGTTTGCACACCTCTCATCACTGGCATTGTGCATCACCCTTGGAAGGATCTCAAGGCACCTGAGGGTGGGCATCCTGGTTAAGAATCACTGTTGTAGAGTTTTTTTCTAAGAATTATACACACTGGCCTCTATGTAAGTTAGTTAGTTTAGTTTTGCAACAAGCTGTGTGAGCTCTAAAATTCCTTTAACTGATGCAGACAACTTCCTAGGTTCCTGTGGTTAAAACATTTCCTTCTCCTGCTCTTCTCACTAAAAATATATTTTAGCTTAGTGAATATGTTTAGAAAGCTGCAAGGCTCAATCAAAAGTTCTACTCCAAGCTCTCCCATTGACTGCCCTTCTGAATATTCTGCATTTTGCAGTTCTTACCTGGTAAGGCATGAACAAGGCTGTGGCCAAAATTGTTGGAGACCAGGGTTATAATATTCCCTAAATACCTTAGCCTACACACAGTATTTTGAAGCAGTATGGATATACCTCAGGCAATCGTAAAGTAGGGAAATGGCAATTTAATGCTAAACGTGCAACCTTAACTCTGACCTTAATGTGCAACCTTAACTCATACATTACAAAACAGTCTTTCATTACAGGGTCATGTATTATTTCTCATGTGACATGCAGCATTTCTTCTACTGTAGGCCCACATGTGACATCCTGAACTTTTAAAAATTTTTGTAGATGCACACAGATTTCATTTTTTTTTCATAGATTCTCCTGATTGTTTCTAGCTGCTTATCAAAAAGGGAATTTGGATATACTTGATGGGTAGTGAGGATTATTTTTGCTGTTGCGATGTATTATTTTAGGGGTCTCCTCTGAGGCCTCATTAAAGTTCTGGAAGTTGTACCATATGAAATTGCATTTTTAATAAACTAGTTCTTTGGGATTTTTAAAAATTTAATATCCTTTTAAATCATAAAACTTTTTTCTTGATATAAACTAGGAGTTTGCTATTGAAATTATTAAATCTACGCACGAATACTGGAAAGCTTTGCTTCATAAAAAGGCGGATGGAGGTGCTATAAAATGGTAAGTGTCCAGTATAAACTATCTTGGTTTATACTGTTTTCATTCTGATGGTATCCTCTATGCAGCATCTGTGTATGAACACTTAGATTTTTGTTTTGAAGTGACAGTTGCATTTTTGTTTTTACAGAACTCAAATGCATAATTGTTTGTATAGTAACTGTACATAAAAAAGATATTGATTACAGAAGTTATGTGAATGAGTTATAATGTAACTTTAGTGATAGCATCAAAAAACTTTTTGTAGTCTGTTAGTGTTTTAGTTTCTGCAAAATACTGATAATTTTGAATTTCTTTTAATGTATATTTCATAAATTTGTAATAATCCAGATGTAGTTGCTGAATACATTGCTAAAAAGACCTTTTTTCACTTTAAGTAAAAAGATAATTAGCATAGTGGTAGCCATTTATAATGATATAAAGCTGTACAGTGAAATTAAAAAAAAAATTAAAAATAAGGAATTTAGTTACAAAAACCAATGAAATATATACTGTATTTACTCAAATATAAAACAGGTTTTTTTCCTAAATCAGCAAAGCAGAGAAAAGCCCCTCATCTTACATTTGCATACAAGGGAACCACATTAAATATATTGCCTGTCTTTGAACTGCTGGTAAAAGCAGCGTGTACTCAGTAATGGGAACCAACTATGAAGTTAATTAAATGCACCCAGTGCTAAGCGCAACTATAAAGTATATGGCCTATATTGGGCAAATGTGCCGATGGGAACCTACCACAAGGATATGTTAGTGCAGCCTATCTGAGTAAGCCATATGGTACTGTCCATTGAGCACAGTTTCCCTTAGTGCCAAGTCTTTTCCAAGTCATGGTGAGCCACTACACTGCATGCATTGCAAATTCTTTATCACTCCCACAGCTAAGCTGCGCCTTTTCTTTCACATTTCCAATGATTCCTGTTTCTTCACTAGCTTTAAATGTGTGGCAAACCTCACCAAATGGAGCCCCAAAGTTTACCCAGAATCCCTCTGTCAGGCCATTTCTCAATCTGTCACATATGATTAGGGTGGCTCTGCCCTCCATGAGGTGAAATCAGACCAGATTGTCCTGCACCTCATCTGCATATAAAGTTTTGGAGGATCCCAGGACTCATGACAAGAATACCTGGTGCCAGTCATGAGGTGGGGGTTAATTAACACATGGATCCTTTGTGGAGGCTTTTTGGAGTACACACACATAATAAAAAGTGCTAAGTTGAGGGGTTACCATGGCTTGAGATCCTATTGACTGGTAGGGCCCAGCCCAATGAACTATATAGTAAATCATGAGCTTTTTGCCTTTGGATTAATATGCATAGTTTGTACTTTATATAAGTAGGTGCCAAACTGCTGCTTAAAAATATATTCATGGAGTATCTGTGCTAAAACTTGCAGCAGTTTCAAGAAAGATAAAATACATAATTTCTGGGTGAACTTAAGTCAATGGGTACTACGTGCAAATTGCTACAGCTATGTTTATTTCAAGGTAATTTTTTTCAAATTTGTTCCCTACTTCCATGTGTTCAGGGAGAGCAGGGTCTGATAGTAAGGGAGGGGAAAGAAGTTAGGGTGGGGGAGGGTAGAGGGCAAAGGGTCTACCTGACTCCCCAGATTTCTTTTCCCTGCTGTAGCAATGAGAGGGGGACAAATTGAAGACAAACCTCTAACAATTAGATTCTTTACCTGGAAAATTATATCACAATTATGAATTTTCCATAAATAGAATCTGTTTATTATGGGGGTTGTCATATAATCATGGTCATATTATATTTGAATAAATATGGTATTAGTTACGTCTCTTATTTTGTCATTAAACTCCCATTGTGTACTTATGATCAGCTGCTGTTCTGAAATGTCAACAAGCTGTCGCATAGATTCATACCTTTGAAATCCTTATTTTTCTGTACTCCTCAAAATGTTTTTTGGGTTGGGAACATGTCTGAGAGAGTCTCTATGACACAGTTCTAACAAATCATCTGCCCATTATTTATTCATTACCTTTAGTACTGTTATTATATTTAGATGTTTCAATAATACCTCAAGTCTTTACCTGCATGTAGACTGCATGTAGTATGTGCCTATGCATCTATACTGTAAACCAGTTCCTACCACAAAGAGCTTATTGGCTAATTTAAGGATGGCCTTTTTAAGTATTACCTCCCTTTTAGGGACAGGGTGACTGAGGTGCCTGAAGTCACACTGGAAGTCTATGACAGAGCCTAGAATTGAACCCAGTTCTTCCAGCCTCTGCCCTTCCTGCCCTACCCTTGTATAGGCCTGCCCTGAGAGGAAGCTGGATGTAATTTGGTGTGGAGGTGATTTCCTTAAGAGTTGGTCATTGGCCAGATGTGATCCTTGTTAAGTGACATTTTTTCTCATAATGAGAGTTTTGTTTAACATCCTTTGTTTAAATACAGTCTAAAAAATTGGTAAAACTAAAAACAAAAGCAAACAAAAAAGATGTATTGCTTTTTTATAATAGGTTGACTCTGTAGCTGTATCTGATGGTTTACATTGCAACTGCATGCCTCCCATTAACTTTGTAAAGAAAACTCAAGTGGAAAGGTGTACTGTACATCTCAGCGTAACTATGTTATTGTTTATTGGTCCGTACTTTGACCTAAAGCAATGGGCATCAAACCAGTGTGCAATCAACCCTTTATAATACCATATTTACTCAATTTCAGAGCAAGGGTAAGCAGTGGGGGTGGGAGGGTGGCATAAGGGAGAGAAGTTGCAGGGACAGGGGTCCAAGGCTGCAGGGGGGCAGAAGATGGGAGGTGGGGGCAGGAACAAGGTGGGGGGGGGGGGGGGGGGGGGCGGGGCAAGGGACAAGCTGCCTCCTCTCTTCCCCACTGCCTCCACACTACCTGCACCCTACCACCTGCCCCCCTACTGCCTGCCTTTCACAGTTCTCCCACTGCCTGCCCCCTTCCCCCCTCCCCACCACTTGACCCCCAGAGCCTGCTCCCCTTCTACTGCTTCCCTGCTGCAGTGGTGGTAGGGATGAATTTAAGATGAACATCCAATAATTAAATTCTATACATGGAAAATGATAAAATTTATAAATTTTCCATATATAGAATCTAATTATGGGGAGGGTCATCGTAAATTCAAGGTTGTCTTGGTTTCGGATAAATACAGTATGCTAAATGTCCCACTATTAAATAAAATCAACACAATAAAACAAAATGAAAGCATAGGCATAACGAATCGTTTAGCTCTTTGCCAGGACGTTGCATGGGATATGCCCAGTCCTATGACATGGCAGAGGGAGCTGGTACAACATAAATCACGGAGTGCAAAGATTCAGTTGGAATTCGTGAAGGGTGGATAGTGGCTGTAGTTCAGGCAAGCAGACATTGCAATGGAATACAGGCAGCACTGTACCTATAATGTGTGAGTTTTGCCAGTGCTTTTCTAGTACTGCTCTAACCAAATATGTTATGCAAAAGCGTAGGCAGAAGACCTGTTTAGATACCCATGGTCTTCTCTCATGTTTCCCTGAGAGACAAAACATTCTCTCCCTTCTGTAGAGCTGATTGTACAGCTCTGTATAGCAGCTGGACAACTTGGTAGCTGTGCTGTTGCACTACAAGAATACAAGATGGTATCCAGGCTCACTTTAATCATTTGAGGCATCTAAACTACATATTCACATACTTTAAAAATAATTAAAATAACAGCTTCAGCTTGAAGAATTGAATTACATGTAGATGACGGTATACAATTCAGATGAGACCTTAACAGCAAAATTCAGTCTCAGTGAAGGATGTGTCTCCATTGAACTTTGGTAGAATATCGTCCATTTATACCATCAGAGACCTTGGCCCATATTTTCTGTCCTCTCTGTGTAAACAGTTTTGTAAGGGCAGAAGCTTGTCCTCTGTCTTCAGTCAAATTTTCTCCTCTGCAGCCAGCATGTTGCACCCTCTGTCCCACAGTTGTCTGTGTGATGTGTCTGTCTCTTTCAAAACTTTGGGATCCTTTAAGGGCAGAAGCAATGTAGAATACTAAATGAATGAAGCAATAGCTCCCACTTCATCTTTGACAGCCTCATTTCTTGGTAGCCAGAAACTGTTGAGTTCTTTGCAGACCACAGTTATCACAGGCATGTTTTAGTTTTTTGAATGTTTCCAATAGTTAATAACCTCCTTATTAATTTTGTTTTCCAGCACAAATGTTCTGGTGTGTGGCAGCCCCTTCTGTTGCAGCGAAGAGGATGCCAGATTAATTGTACAATCAGTAAGGGCAACAAGCTTTGGATGCAACTTTTAATTTTTTTAAAAGTGTAAGGCAAGCAAAGGATCCAGAAATGCGGAATGAAAATAACATGGGCAAACAAGGTCGCTGCATGCTTCAATATAAAAGGAAGAGTACAAAGATTATGGGAGAAATGTTACCATTATAATATAAACCTTTTCACTGCAGTGTTCAAATTGTGTTTTCTGGCAGGTTCATTACCGTTTCACTGATTTTTTTTTTTCTATGGTGCTGTTTCTTTTGATACTGAATAGCAAGATGGACCGCTATTTGTATCTTAGCCTGCTGTCTTCCCAGTCTGCCCTGTTGCCATGAGTTACCACCCAGTGCTAAAACTGATTGACTAGCCTGACTGTACTCCCATAATCACTAAGGGTATCCTTTGTTTGCCTACTTGCATAATTAAATAGATCACTGTACAAGAAAGGGGGAAGTGCTTTTTTATTCATGCTTTTTTAAAGAATGGCTGTCTTATTCTGCAAATTAATGTAAAATTCAAACACAGAGGTTCCCTATTTGAACTAGAAGAATGTCTTGCAGGTTTGATGTTACCATGTGCAAAAGCCATTAGAGGAGAATTTATTCCATGTAAATAGTTTGTTTTTGAGACTAGAACCAAACCAGAGAAAAGGAAATATGAAGTGCCTAATTTTTTAAGTACACTTTCGCTGACACTTGTTTGTGCTGTTGCCATGGCTGCAGGAACACACTGGGTATTTTGCACATGCACACAGCTGTGTACGTGGCTGGCTAGTCATTAATGCATTCACTTGCCTCATTTTCACAATTAATGGCAATTGTGCAAGTGCAGGTGTCAGATGAGACCTTGGGCTTCTTTAAACCAAGGTTCAGAATACTCTCCTTTGTACTTTCAGAGGCTTCTTCCTCAGCTAACTCCATCTTTATTATTATTATTATTGTTCACTTTGAAGAAACAGGCTTACATCTTCAATGGCTTATACCAGTAATGAGATATCAATGAAGCATAAACTAGTGTCCTTACTGAGGTTCTGTTCAAATACTCCTATTTTGTTCAGCTACTGTGGTCTAATAGATTTTTCTGTAATGGGGGTCTATGGTAAGGCACCTGAGATAAGCAATTAAAAATGAACTCAGTGTTATCTGAGGATTAAACATAACAAGGTGCCGGTTTATTATATGGCTGTGTTTCCCCTATAGTCTACATGGAACTTAGTTTTTGTGCATCTAAAATTTAAACTAATAGTCTTAGGAATTTTGTATAGCAAGCAAATAAACCTTTGTTACTCACGAGAAAGTAAGCTAAAGCTTGAAGACATTTCAGAATCAAACTTTTTCCTAATCTGTTTGGTTACTTTTTGCATTCCAGATTTGAGTGTTTAGATGTATTTTAGCGCATGATAATTAGCAGGATTGTAAATTTTAGCGCAGACACTAAAGGAATGTTTATTTTAGTACTTACATTATTAATTCCCAGTCGTGTTTGCTGATAGTCACGTTTAACCATGGAAACATGTGGGTCCTGTGTGTCGGAGAAACTACAGTAATTTTTATTAACACATATTTAAAGTACAACTAGAAATTCAGGTTGTGACGCACACTAATTTTGAACTTAAAAGACTTTGAAATCTTTTATACTACACTGTTTGAATTTGAAAGATTCCAGGCAAATATTTGTTGAAAAATAACTCATTCTATATTTGGTTATTTGTTTTTACATTTCACTGGAAATCCTTCTCCAGGTTTTAAGATTTGTAAAACTTGGTGATTTCAAAAGCTACAATTCGAATTAGTGTTCCATCATAGTATCCTTATCAGTAATTTTTCCTATTCTCATTTTTATCTTTCTTTTTATTGCAGGCTTTCACTATTTCTTTGTGGCATTTCATTCTGTCAGAATAACCTAAAACTCTCCACAGATCCTGTTTCTTTGAATTTTTTTTTCTTTTAACATTTTTGTTTATCTAGGATAGATCAGTTATTCCACATATATTTATCCGCAAGTAAAATTCACAGTATATTTTAAGTAGTATTTTTAATGTGCACAATTTCTAATCAAACACAACTTGAAATAAAAAACAGTATTGCTTTTAAGACTGTCTAGAAAGAAAAAAATGGAATTCTAGAGGTGATGCAGGTACTGTTTCCAATGTGCTGCATGGCCTAATTAGTTTCTCAATCATTCAGCTCTGGCAAGTTGAAACTGATGGTATTTAGGGGTTGGCTGCAGAATCTTAATGTCTGTGGTGTTTCCAGCATTAGCTACGTGTACCTGATCATTTTAAAAAAAGTTAGAACTACAAAGAATCATTTTCCTTATTATTTTTCTTTCTTTCCATTTGCTTCCAGAAAGGAACGCAGATACTATATGATAGAGTGCAGGGGTTCTCAACCCCCAGCCTGCAGGCTATATCCAGTCTCCAGGGTTGTGTCCTGCAGTGCACAGGGCTCCCCACAGGTCTGAAAATTTGGCAGCAGAGAAGTGGTGGCACTACTCCCCTTCTGCCAAATTTTCAGATCTTTGGGGAGCCCTGTGGGCTAGACAGTGTGGCCCTGGGTGCTAGATTAGCCACATGGGGCCAGGTGAGGGTGGCATGAAGCCTGATCCCAGTTTATGGGGCCTCAGCGCCCAATCCTGGCATGTGGGGCCAGGTGGGGTGACATGGGACCCCAGGGCCAAATCCTGGCACATGAGGCTGTGAAGGGTTGGCATCCCAGGGCCCGATTTGGTGTGTGGAAACAGTGCCTCAAGGACCAGTCCTAGGATATGGGGCCATGTGTGGGTGATATGGGCCCTAAGACCTGATTCTGGTGCACAGTGCTGGATGGTGAGATGGGCCCCAAGGCCCAATCCCAGCACATGGGCCTGGATCCCAGAATACAGGGCTGAGCAGGGGCAACTGGGGGCTATAGAGCCTGAGTCGGGGCCAAGGCTTTGTGGGGTCCATTCCTGGCACACAGGGTCCTATCCATCCTGTGAACTGGCCCCGACACACTCATCTGGCTCCCAGGGCCAATAGTTTGAGCACCACTGATGCACTGGAATCTTGACTTAGAGGTCGAATGAGTTGTGCTTCAGAAGAACTTGTCATACTGAGTTCACTCTCCCTTTCAGCACCTACTCTCTGCCCCTTTGTGGTACAGGATACTTGGCAAGGTGGACCTATGGTCTGATGCAGTAAATAGCAGTTCTTATGTTCTTATTCCTGAGTCACTCGCACTAGTTTTGAGTGTCTGCCCATGCTCCTAGTCCCTAACCCATACCGAATTTACAACTAGAAGATTTTTGTATTGTGTCTTGTATTCTCATAAGGTAGGCTGAGTACACAAATAGAGGGCATGCAGTACCGTTATAAGTCTTGAGGGTTTTTTTATCGAATATTGCCACCTACTCCATGCCTCAGAACAAATGTTAAAGTCCTTACCGCTAGTGAGTCCTGGATATACAATTGTTTATACGTAGATTAGTTTCCAGTATCCTTATTCCTTACTGGGTACCCTCTAATTGCACAAGTAGCCTCAATGACCTTCAGCATTATTTAGAAGTGTCAAAGATCCAGCCTGCAGTGCCATGGCATCCAGTCCACAGGGCTTGGAGTGGTATAAATGAGGGCAGGGCCTGTCAGTGAAATCTGGGGTATAGGACCTTGTTAGGTACGCTGATAGTAGGGCAAGTGGTGGTTGCGTTAACCCCCACTGCTTCCTAATGATGCTTGCCTTACCACTGGAGGTAGATCTTGCAGCCCAAGAGCACTGTGGTCCAGGGATCCAGCAAGTTTGACACTCCTGATTTAGGGTATTGGATTCTAGCAACTTCTTCAGTTTTTGTAAAAGCTGTGTTTGGGAACCAAACAACTAGTCAATATTGGGGAATTTTTGTACTGTGATTGCCCTTTAAGGTGTATTCGTAGGTGGTTTCTGTCCCTCTCTGAAGTAGCGGACATGAACTACCAGAAACGGGTATGTTTCTAGTTTCTGTCGAGGGTTTATTTTTGTTGAGCATTCCTTCAAACTCAGCTTCACCCTTCTCTGTTGTGTCTCCTTAGTTTCAGGACAGTTCCACTTGTGTTAATGTAAATCAGGAATAATTTTACTGCTGTTGATAAGGTTCTGAATCTAAAATTGGTACAGTGCAATCAGCAGAGGTCCTCTATAGAGCTATAGAACATTTTAAATATCTAGTATTACCCTGGCATCCAGTAGCGAGACCCACACCAGAGTTGTTAACACTCCATAACAGTGGAAGGTGCTGGTGCTTCCTGATTTCTTAAAATTATATTATCTTTTTCTCAGCTCCAGTGTTGGTTCATGCTGAGAATTAGACTGGGTTGGAATGGAACTTGTAGCTGACTGTCAGGGCTAAAACGTACTGTTTACTTCAGCCTTTTTAAGTGTTGCCATCTGTTAGACTGACGAGGACAGCCAAACCTTTGTTTAACATTAATCCCAAGAACCGATTGCTCATTCAGTCTACAAGGAAGCTTGCTTAAAAACTTTTTTTTTGCAGCTGGAAAACCTCCAAGAAGAACTATATATGTTTTGTAGAGCAGTGTTTCTCAGACATATTGCATCTTTCTTCCCCTATAGTGCTGGAAAGAAAATGTGCAAGAAAAGACTTTGTTGGTAGACATATCTTTTGAAAGAGAGGAAAATTATTATCATCCTCCTGAGAACGTGTAAAAAGCAAGCGAATGGTGCATTTTCTGTCATGTTTATAATAATGCAAAGTTGGACTGAGAAACTCTTTAACCGGCTTTTTTTTTTTTTTTTTTTTACTGAGACATTTCCACTTAGGCAGGATTGTCTGTTTGGTAGCTAGCATGAAACAAAAGGTTCTTTTTTCTCAGTCTCCAGTGAAAAGGATTATGTAGTAAAGAGAGCGTCCATTTCTTTGCGTTGGGCTTGCTTTCACTATTTCTGGGTAAAGTGACGTTTTTGCTACCAGGCCCAAATTCAGTTTCTTTCTGAGACACTGGGTTCCAGAGCAGAACTGTTAGATGCCC